ACAGTAAATTACAAGAATACTAACCGTTTCGCAAATATGCAAACATATTAATTTTATTCCTTATACATTTAGCTTTCATTTTTGTTTTAATTTAATATTATATCTATCCTAGTTTTCGAGATATTAGCCAAAATCTAAAGATACTGCATTTTCAAAAGTTTCAAATTTGACAATAAATTACAAGAACACCATGCCTATTACAAAGATAAGTTAATGCACATTTTAATCCTTAAGCTTTTAGATATAATCTGTGTAATAAATGATTAATCTTAATTTCATAGAATTGGTTTAAAAATACATATTTTTTGATGACAAAAGTATTAATTTAGCTATCTTATTTATTGAGATATTTATGGACTCTGGATAGTTTCAACTTTCACAGTAAATTACAAAAATACTAACCGTTTCGCAAATATGCAAACATATTCATTTTATTTCTTATATATTTAGCTTTAATTTGTGTTTTAATTTAATATTATATCTATCCTAGTTTTCGAGATATTAGCCAAAATCTAAAGATACTGCATTTTCAAAAGTTTCAAATTTGACAATATATTACAAGAACACCATGTCTATTACAAAGATGAGTTAATGCGAGAAAACTAGTATTTTGTTTTCGCTATTATTTATGCTCGACTTTTGTTTATGCAAAATATATTTTTACTAAATTATTGGGTTGGCAATAAACTAGTTTCGGTATTCACAAATAGATAGCGTTCTGTTTGTTTTGAAAGATTGACATCTTTTAGCTTCCTTTAGAAATTTGATTTGCAGCTGTTAGTTTAGGGACAATTTTAATGGAAGTACAAAAACGAATATTTTTATTTCCGTAAAACTGCTTAGGTTTACAAAGCGATATGTGAAGTGTATGATGTTAATAGTTTAATAGAATTCACGTGTCAGAATTGATTTTAAAAAAACATATGTTTTGATGACAAAAGTATGTATACAAAAGAAAGAGTTGCATCGAACATAATTTCTTGTCAACCTAATATTTTTCAAATTATATAAAATAAATTAAACAATTTTGCACAGTAAATTATCATATTTGTTCATATTTATTTAAAATTTGATAGTTTTAGATCACATTTTTATTATAAATAATGCTAGATCAAAGCACTCTTAGTTTAAACTCGATTAAACTTTAAACGATTATGGACTGAACGAACACAGTTTCATTATTTTTTTCATCATTGTGTTTGAGTATAATGTCTTAATAGGATTAAGGTTTGCTTAAAATGGGAATCTTAATGGCTCGGAGCGTCGGTAATGCGCCTCTAAAAATAGCCCACTCTCTCTCCGAACACAACGTAATCAATATCAATTCCGATATGTGTGTCTATTCAATGCAACACATCGCACGAGTAATCCGTCAATGTCAACCTATCCGAAAAGCTCTTTTCTATTATTTTATTTAGCTTTTTTTTTTCTTCTTCTCCTCCCATTTCCCCATTTTCGCTCCGCCGACTTTTATTTGGTTGGTCTCAACTTCGAAATGCCTCAGTTGCCGTGCGACTCCTGCATTTTTTATTAAATCCGCAAAATTTGATTACGCCGCAGAATCCGAGCGGGGAAGAACCGCACACAAACGAAATAAACGGCGGATGCGCCGGGTACCGCACACACACACAAAATTTAATCTGCTGCATTCTTGGATATTCGATATGTGTGTATAGTTCATTTTTCATCAATAATGAAATCGTCTAAGTCTGAAAATTGCATTGATATTACTAAAGTTTCTGAACACAATTTTCATAATGATATTTTGTATAAAAAGGAAAAGAAATCATTGGAAATGACTAGATTTTTATGTATATTAATATGTACAATTTAATAAAGTGAATTTGAAATAAAATTTGCTAATTAATTAGAAAAGTAACTAAAAAATCTCAATAATTAATATTTTTAATTTCTTACTTGTAAGTAAATATGGTTGCCTGTTTGCTGTGTTTTATTTCTTTGTCTCTTGTCAAGTAACTGTCACTATTACATAATAAATGTTTCTTAACATGTAGGTCACGACCCAAAGTCAAGTTATTTTTTTAATGGATTGCGAAATGACAGCTGTCACCCTGTGTCAAAGTGAAGAACTGATGAAATACGCTTAACAATTGTATCGCTGCAAACAAATATATGTATAATGAATAATGCACAATAAATATGTATAATGTTTGTAAATTAATTAGAAAAGTAACTAAAATATCTCAATAATTAATATTATTAATTTCTTACTTGTAAGTAAATATGGCTGCCTGTTTGCTGTGTTCATTTCTTTGTCTCTTGTCAAGTTACTGTCATTATTACATAATAAATGTTTCTTAACATGTAGGTCACGACCCAAAGTCAAGTTATTTTTTTAATGGGTTGCGAAATGACAGCTGTCACCCTGTGTCAAAGTGAGGAACTGATGAAATACGCTTAACAATTGTGTCGCTGCAAACAAATATGTTTAGTCGCGTTATTAAAAGCTTGTGAAACGCTGTTATTACAGTTATTACACAATAAATATGTATAATGTTTGTAAATTAATTAGAAAAGTAACTAAAATATCTCAATAATTAATATTTTTAATTTCTTGCTTGTAAGTAAATATGGTTGCCTGTTTGCTGTGTTTTATTTCATTGTCTCTTGTCAAGTTACTGTCATTATTACATAATAAATGATTCTTAACATGTAGGTCACGACCCAAAGTCAAGTTATTTTTTTAATGGGTTGCGAAATGACAGCTGTCACCGAAGTGAAACACTCTTTGCAATTGAGGTCGCAGTACAACAACCAGCAAATATGTTGACAGCTGTCACCCTGTGTCAAAGTGAAGAACTGATGAAATACACTTAACAATTGTGTCGCTGCAAACAAATATGTTTAGTCGCGTTATTAAAAGCTTGTGAAATGCTGTTATTACAATTATTACACAATAAATATGTATAATGTTTGTAAATTAATTATAAAAGTAACTAAAATATCTCAATAATTAATATTTTTAATTTTTTGCTTGTAAGTAAATATGGTTGCCTGTTTGCTGTATTTATTTCTTTGTCTCTTGTCAAGTTACTGTCATTATTACATAATAAATGTTTCTTAACATGTAGGTCACGACCCAAAGTCAAGTTATTTTTATAATGGGTTGCGAAATGACAGCTGTCACCGAAGTGAAATACTCTTTGCAATTGAGGTCGCAGTACAACAACCAGCAAATATGTTGGTTCACGAAATGACAGCTGTCACCCTGTGTCAAAGTGAGGAACTGATGAAATACGCTTAACAATTGTGTCGCTGCAAACAAATATGTTGAGTCGCGTTATTAAAAGCTTGTGAAATGCTGTTATTACAGTTATTACACAATAAATATATATAATGTTTGTAAATTCATTAGAAAAGTAACTAAAATATCTCCATAATTAATATTTTTAATTTCTTACTTATAAGTAAATATGGTTGCCTGTTTTCTGTGTTTCTTGTCAAGTTACTGTCATTATTACATAATAAATGTTTCTTAACATGTAGGTCACGACCCAAAGTCAAGTTATTTTTTTAATGGGTTGCGAAATGACAGCTGTCACCGAAGTGAAATACTCTTTGCAATTGAGGTCGCAGTACAACTACCAGCAAATATGTTGGTTCACGAAATGACAGCTGTCACCCTGTGTCAAAGCGAGGAACTGATGAAATACACTGAACAATTGTGTCGCTGCAAACAAATATGTTGAGTCGCGTTATTAAAAGCTTGTGAAATGCTGTTATTACGCAATAAATATGTATAATGTTTGTAAATAAATTAGAAAAGTAACTAAAATATCTCAATAATTAATATTTTTAATTTGTTGCTTGTAAGTAAATATGGTTGCCTGTTTGCTGTGTTTTATTTCTTGGTCTCTTGTCAAGTTACTGTCACTATTACATAATAAATGTTTCTTAACATGTAGGTCACGACCCAAAGTCAAGTTATTTTTTTAATGGGTTGCAAAATGACAGCTATCACCGAAGTGAAATACTCTTTGCAATTGAGGTCGCAGTACAACTACCAGCAAATATGCTGGTTCACGAAATGACAGCTGTCACCCTGTGTCAATGTGAGGAACTGATGAAATACGCTTAACAATTGTGTCGCTGCAAACAAATATGTTGAGTCGCGTTATTAAAAGCTTGTCAAACGCTGTTATTATAGTTATTACGCAATAAATATGTATAATATTTGTAAACTAATTATTGTGACATTTATTATTTAAGTTAGTAAATATTAATATGTGCCGATAAGTCGTTAAATATTCTTAAGTCTAACAAGTTGGTCATATAATAACGTAATAATTGTTAAGGAATTAATGAAAATACCCGGCGCATCCACGGAACTATAAATTGTAGCCTACTATACAAAGTTTTTCCTTTAATTTTTTGGACTATACATAACTTTGAGGTAATAGTGCAAGATGAGAATAGCACATGGGTCGAGCGTTTTAGTTATGCTTATGTGGGAAGGATGGTGATCATTTGAATAAGGGATAAAAGGGATGTAGGGCCATTAGTCTGCTAAATTGCAGGTGCTGCGCAAATCCGGGGAGGCCATACATTTCCTCTCTCTATCTCTCTTTTATCCCAGATTTTCATAAAACCCATTCCCGGGAAGAATGAATGGATGGAAAGGAAGCAGGGTTTTTCTGTTGTAAAAAAAATGTATGTTGGTAATTTGCATAATCAAGTTTCTACGCATTTTCAATTACGGCTCCCCCTGCTGGCCCGAATTACACCTAATTTTGGGACGCCGTTCTATGCGCCTAATCACCATCAATCTCCGTAAAGGAGGCGTTTGAAAAGCGACTTTTGAATGCTAACAACGTGATCATCATCATCATCAAAAGATCCAATTTAAATACAGTTTAATTGATTTATTTCTGTAAAGAATTTAAGAAAATTAAAATATTTTTGTTAACAATTTATTGAAACAAAAATTTGATAAACATTTTTATATTACTAATTTTCTTTTTGCATTTGTTTAGGTTTTGGATTGTTGCTATGGTAATAAAGATGACGGCATGAGCATCGTGGATCCTCGAGTTTGTCTGTTGGTGGTGCTGGTGTCGTCGTCGTGGTATGTGGGCGTTCGAGGATTGCAGAATGATCAGATCTGCAAGAGGAAGGAGTTGTCGCAGCAGGCTGGACGACCTCCGACCGGACTGACGGCCTCCTTCAACGTCACCGAGGCTGCATCTCGTCTCCTCGAAGATCTGACCACGAGAAACACTTCGGAAGCAACAGCAAAGCTTCTCCTCAGCAGAGAACAAGACGTTGCAGCCGTCATAGCCGAATTCACCGGGACCAGCATCCTCGTTCTGAACGTGCGAGGCACCATGAAAGTATTCCACAACGCGACCAGAAAAACAGCCGTCCTTTGGGATGCGTTCAATCAAGACGAAGGTGAAGGTTGGGTCGACTTCGTCTTGGATTGTTACACGACGCACAAGACCTGGCTGAGACCTTACAGGGTGAAAGGATCTTCCGGATCGAAGATCGGGCTGTTCGTCACCGTCGACCTCGACAGATGTGATCCCGTGTACGAGGAAGTGTTCGAGGGTCCTCCGCATTGCCATCAGGAATCCACCTACGTAAGACATTGCAGAACCCTCGAGTAAATCGCATTAACGTCACGCTCGTATTTCTAATTGACACTTAATCCTTGCCGGTGATTATTACAGATCAAAGGGCATCTTTCGCGAGCTTTCACTGAAGATATTTATCTCCGTAATTAAATCTTAACGAGATCAAATGTATCCAGCTCGGAAATCTCTTTAGTTTTATTTATTTTTTTCCCCTTTTATTTCCGTTTAATACCGTCGCTGCTCATTTTCTAAATACTTACTCTAAATAGAGAATAAAAAGACACAACTAATCACAATTAACAATTTTAAACTACTGGAATCTGCGTAAAGAATTGAATTAATTGCAAATCCAAAATTTCCAAGAAATTACTATAATTTTAATTTACTTTTGTAATTAATTTACAATATTAGGTAACATTTTAATTCAAATAAAATTGTTAAAACTATAACGCATTAGATAAGAAATTTGGAGATTGTTGAAAAATCACCTTATAAGGTTACGAAAACGCGTTTCGATGAATCACAGCGGTTCTGAAACGTTTAAACAATGTTTGACTCATCTGTTGCACCTGCGAATCTCAAACATTTAAACAATCCTCGTATTGAAACGAATTGTCTCGAATTGTCACGACGAAAACCTCACTTGTTTCTACATTTCTATGAGTCATGTACACCTGCAATTGCACCTGCGAATCTCAAACGTGTAAACAATCTTCGTATTGACACGAATTGTCTCGAATTGTCACGACTCGAATCGGCTGCAGCTGCAAGTGATAAACAAATCCTTATAAGTTTACGAAAACATCACTTGTTTCTACATCTCTATGAGTCATGTACACCTGCAGTTGCACCTGCGAATCTCAAACGTGTAAACAATCTTCGTATTGACACGAATTGTCTCGAGTTGTCACGACTCGAATCAGCTGCAGCTGCGAGCGATAAACAAATCCTTATAAGTTTACGAAAACATCACTAGTTTTTACATCTCTATGAGTCATGTACACCTGCAGTTGCACCTGCGAATCTCAAACGTGTAAACAATGCTCGTATTGACACGAATTGTTTCGAATTGTCACGACTCAAATGCGTCGCGATGAATCACAGCGGTTCTAAAACGGTTCAACAATAATCTTTACATCGATGACTCATCTGCACCTGCGAATCTCAAACATTGAAACAATTATATAAACGCGATTAGTCAGTGCGTTTTATTTGAAAATATTTGAAAAATATTGTAAGAAAATTTTTTTTAGAGAAATTTTCAAATTTTCAATCATTCGAACTTCTTACTGAATTGAATTATCTATAATATAAAATTAAATTTTAATTTTCAAACAGTTTTAATAAAAAAAAAAGAACTTAAGTTAAATTAAGACAGGTTTTGTCAGAAATGTTATTAATTAAATAACTAAATTTTAGGAAAAACGTCTACTTAACAAACTAACTATAACTAATTAGAAATACATTTCTGACTTAGATTATTTTTTGGATATTAAAGGAAACTTCAACTTTACAAACTACAGTAATTTCTCGCATAGTGCGGTTTCGTAAACATTTCAAAGGAAACTATTTTTTTTTATAAAATTAAATTATGTACGGTTCATTTTGAAAGTCAACTATGCGAGGTATTTCTGTAGGTGCAATTATATATTAACATAGAAAGGTATATGCTATATTCTAGTATGTAATTTGAATTGGTATATGTGGAATGGTATGTATGTGATCTTTGTACTTCTGTGACTAGATTCTAAATAAATAAGTAGTAGGTAGTTGAAGAGGATTCAGCCCCCCCAAGTGTACTTGGATAATAAATGTTGCAGTGCGTCTCCGGTCGTGAATGGGGCGATAAGGGCTCGAGCTATTGGTGTCGTTGTCAGGAGGGTTTCTACCGTCCCGAGGCCAATTTTACATGGAAAGGATTTTCCGGCGAGGACATCGAGAACGGTCTTATCGACTCTTACCGGTTCGTACACATTTATTTTCTTCCGCAAAATAAAATCCTATGCATTATTACATTTTCCCCCCCAACCAAAACAAAAAAAAACAACACTCCTTCGCGATTCGAAATTGAAATTCGATCATCATTTCCATGGCAATACGCAGCTGTCTCTTCGAGATTTAATTGATGCGATTAAGTGTTCAATAGTGTATTTGATTGCGAAAATACGTTTTCCACGGAATCAATTCCCCGGAATGAGTGTATACATCCACTAATCCACTGATTACACCTGTCGCAACCTGCATCAGATTTATCCATCCATTTCCAAATCCCACCCCATTCACTTCCGTCTATTTACGACCGTTTTTATGTGCCATTTGCAAATCGCGTAAATGGAAAAAGTATCGACAGATTTTTAATTATAAAAAAATATATAATATTTTCTCATTATATTCATCATTAGCTCTAATATTTATATAATTTATAGTCAATTAATCCAGTTTATAGACAATTATTCAATAAAATTGAAATAGAAAATTTAGTTTTATTAAGTTTATTTCCTGCATTATTTTTTTTTTAATTTAGCCTGAGATTCGAACTTTATACTTAAATTTTGTGATACAAGTAACGATATTAATAACGAAAGTTTCTACAATTAACCAAAAGATGGCGTCTCAAAATGTCATTGATATATAGAGAGAAAAAAAACAGTTTTTCTATTTCAAATTTGCTCTTAACTCTACGAAAACAAATTAATATTAAAATTTAAATTTTATATAATTTCTATTTAAAATAATTATGACGATTTTATTTTCATTTTCAATTTATACAGAGATTCGAACTCGCAACTTTTGTATCGAATTTGATGATTATTAGTAGGTTTATATTATAATGTTTATAGTTCCAAAAGATGGCGTTTTTTTCAAAATGTCATTGTTTTATGGGAAAAGAGTCTTCGTTTTCAGATTTTTAAGTCTAATTCAATGGGTTTCAAGAAAATGGAAAAAATATCGACAGATTTTTAATTATAAAAAAAATATATAACACGATACGAAACGATCTCATTAGCTCTAATATTTATATAATTTATAGTCAATTATTCAATAAAATTGAAATAGAAAATTTAGTTTTATTAAGTTTATTTCTTGCATTCTTTTTTTTAATTTAGCATGAGATTCAAACTCAAATTAAGTAACGATATTAGTAGTTTTTTTTTTCATTAAAATTAATATAAATACGAAAGTTTCTACAATTAACCAAAAGATGGCGTCTCAAAATGTAATTGATATATGGAGATTTTTTTTTAAATTTTAAATTTGCCCTTAACTCCACGAAAACAAATTAATATTTAAATTTTATACAATTTCCATTTAAAATAAATATTACGATTTTATTTATATCATAAAAGTATGATTTTCAATTTAATCAGAGATTCAAACTCGCAACTTTTGTATCGAATTTGATGATTATTAGTAGGTTTATATTAAAATGATTATAGTTCCAAAAGTTTCTACAACTAACCAAAAGATGGCGTTTTCTCAAAATGTCATTGTTTTATGGGAAAAGAGTCTTCGTTTTTAGATTTTTAAGTCTAATTCAATGGGTTCCAAGAATATGAATTATAAAAATTGAATCAGAAAATTTTCACTTTTTTATAACTGTGACTAAATCAAATATATATAAATCCAATTCATTAAATATGAAAAATTTAAAATTTCCAATTTTTCAAATACATTTTTTTTTAATTTAGCCTGAGATTCGAACTCAAATTAAGTAACGATATTAGTAGTTTTTTTTTTCATTAAAATTAATATAAATACGAAAGTTTCTACAATTAACCAAAAGATGGCGTCTCAAAATGTCATTGATATATAGAGAGAGAAAAACAGTTTTTTTTAATTTTAAATTTGCTTCTTAACTCTTCGAAAATAAATTAATATTAAAATTTTATATAATTTCCATTTAAAATAATTATTACAATTTTATTTTTATCATAAAAGTACCATTTTCAATTTATTCAGAGATTCGAACTCGTAACTTTTGTATCGAATTTGATGAGTATTAGTAGGTTTAGATTAAACTTATAATAGTTCCGAAAGTTTCTACAACTAACCAAAAGATGGCGTTTTCTCAAAATGTCATTGTCTTATGGGAAAAGAGTCTTCGTTTTCAGATTTTTAAGTCTAATTCAATGGGTTTCAAGAATATGAATTATAAAAATTGAATCAGAAAATTTTCACTTTTTTATAACTGTGACTAAATCAAATATATATAAATCCAATTCATTAAATATGAAAAATTTAAAATTTCCAATTTTTCAAATACATTTTTTTTTAATTTAGCCTGAGATTCGAACTCAAATTAAGTAACGATATTAGTAGTTTTTTTTTTCATTAAAATTAATATAAATACGAAAGTTTCTACAATTAACCAAAAGATGGCGTCTCAAAATGTCATTGATATATAGAGAGAAAAAAAAACAGTTTTTTTAAATTTTAAATTTGCTTCTTAACTCTTCGAAAATAAATTAATATTAAAATTTTATATAATTTCCATTTAAAATAATTATTACGATTTTATTTTTATCATAAAAGTACCATTTTCAATTTAATCAGAGATTCGAACTCGCAACTTTTGTATCGAATTTGATGGTTATTAGTAGGTTTATATTAAAATGATTATAGTTCCAAAAGTTTCTACAACTAACCAAAAGATGGCGTTTTCTCAAGATGTCATTGTTTTATGGGAAAAGAGTCCTCGTTTTTAGATTTTTAAGTCTAATTCAATGGCTTTCAAGAATATGAATTATAAAAATTGATTCATAAAACAAACTGTGACTAAATCAAATAATATAAATCTAATTCATTTAACATAAAAAGTTTTAAATTTCCAATTTTTTAAATAAATTCCCATTTTTTTTCAAACACGAACGGAGCTTTACAATTCGTTATAGAAACTTTTAAATTTCCAATTATTTTTTTTTTTCAAATACAGATTTGTTAATTGGACGAACGAACCTCAATTGATAATCGAATGAAATGCGCCGCAAATTAACTAACAAAAGAAAACGCGTGTGTGCGTCCTATGTATATCAAACATTTAATGCCAAATTGCGGACTGATGGACCGATTAAAAGCCGTTAATTGAATTCAGACTCCATTCACAGCGTAATCCACTTTAATCTATGTTTAATTACATTATTTCCTCGGTGCGGTACCAACAAAGTGCTCCCTAATTGCACCCACCGTTTATTTTACTTCACATAAAAACAAAATATTACACAACCAGTCTAGTAAACGAAGACAACAAAAAAAAAAGTATAGGAGAGAAGCAGCAACATAAACAAGATGTAGCGTAAAGCTTTTACGGAACAATTTACGTCCGACCCGGGGAAACGTGACTCCCCGTACTTTTAATGCGATTCTGTTTATTTATTTTTTAAATTTTCTTTTTCCCGACTCGTTCGCATTGGGAATCTCAAAAGCATAACAAATGCATATCCATTACACGAGAAGTAATAAAATGGATAGAGCAAGCAAGCAAGCAGTGTTGCTATGGCTACTGGCACTTTGTTTCCATGGTTGCGAGTTGCTGCTGTCCGTTTAAATTTCAGTTTAATTCGGTGGATCTAATAATATCGCGTTTTCCGGTGGCGATGCAAATTGAATGGGTGGAAAAGAGAAGAAAAGTAGGAGGCATTTCACTCAGACGCGGAAATCTGGGACGACGGAATCGTTTAATTGCATTTCCTACTACAGTTTTTATTTCATTTTTTTTATATACAAATATACACTCTAGATATATAACTTAGTTACATAAAAAGATGCATACACGCTGCAACAAACGTGATTAGTAATGAACTCAAAACTAATTTCCATAGTTTCAATTTTATTTTTATTATAAATATACAGCAATACCTCGCATAGTGCGGTTGCTTCAATATCAAGCACTATTTGAGGACTTTAAAATCTCATCAAATAAATAATAAACCGCATAAAAGAGACTTGACTATAGAAAAATTTAAAAATATAACCGTACTGTAATGAATCTGCACTGATCGAAGCCGCACTATGCGAACTATTGCTGTTTTCTTATATTAAAATTATGTTTTTTTTTTATATATATTAAACCTCTTTATAAACTGTCATAAAAGAAACGTTACCATTTCATTTTGAAATAAGTTTTAGACTACTCACACTAACTTAATTCTCTCACTTTGAGGTTGATGATCAGTAATTTAACTAATTCTGATGTAAGTTTATCAGAATTACATAAACGTGTACATCTGCAAATGCAGTTACAATTAGTTTTCCGAAAGCTTTAATTGCCGGACCGGACCGGACGAATCGGTGGAAGCTTCTGGCGAAAGAGCATGCAAACAATTACGTAAACTGCGAACGCTGTCGGAGCGCCAATTAACATCTGCAGAGATGCGGACCGCAGCCGTAATTACACTCGAAACACAAATTGCAAATCGGCTCCATTTTTTTAAAATATGATGATTACTGCCATCATAATGATGATAATGATGATGCTGATGATGTTCACTAGGGGATTCTCACCCACATTCCGCTAATTCAATTCCGGAAGAACCCACAAGTCCTTCCAATTAAAGGCTGAATCACGTCAAACGTATTGAACTGTTTCCCTTTCGAATTGTCGGACAATTCTATTTTCAACAAGAAATAACAAATATAATAAGAATTTCAATTTGATGTCTTCGCAAGGATTAGGAAATATCTTAATTGGATACAAGAGAATTTATTGTCAATTTGAATTAAGAGTTTTCGACTATTGAAATTTGAAACGTTTTTTAGGATTAGTAAAATTAGATTAAGAGAGTTTAGTGTTAAACTGGATTGAACGAGTTTTTGAATTTCGGTAACTGAAACAACCAAAAACTAATACTAAAACAGATTTTTTTTAATACTTTCTCGGTATTAATAAAGCCTTAATTTATATGAAATTGTAAACGATTCAAATCGTGTTGCGTTGCTTTGGGGGTAGTGTTACGCAATAAATTCGTCTTAATCGATTTTGGATTACATTCGTTTCGGATTATGCCGAGAGAGGGCGGCTCGAAATCCAATTTTCGAACGTACCATGGCAACTCGATTAAGCAAAATAGAACAGTGTTAGGTACGTGTATTTTAATATTAATCTCGTTCCCCGTTAAATCATGCTATAATTACAAAAGAACGATGAGATACATTATGTAACAGCGGTTCTCAAAAGTTTGTTCATCTTCTCTCGCCCTTTTATGAATATTTGATTGGTTTAAATTCAATCTTATTAATTAATAATATTGTATTGATTTTGTTGCTCCATTTACACTGTAAGACACAAACTACATGTTACATCTGATAAGTATTTGTCTCATATCAAATTTAGTGTTTATATTATGAAATTTATTTAGTTTCACGCAATTTGTCTTTCGTGACTGCAACAAAATATCTAAACTAAAGAATTGAGTAAAAACATTTCGTTCATTGTTTGGATGTTCGTAACTTTGTCATCATAGCGGTTGTACGCTCACCGATTTTTGCTTACAAACGAGTTAATTAAATGGGTTTGGCGCACGGAAGTTCCGTGTTTCGGGTGCAAACACCGACATGTAAATATGTAACCGACATGGGCAAACTTTGCCTTCGGAACGCAACAAAACAGAATAAATCACCGTCACCGAATTATACACCCCAATTTTTTTTTTCTATTTATTACCGAAAAACTTTTACCCGATCGATTCGAACCGAACCGAGAGAGTTATAGTATTTTTTTTTACTCCAAATCCGCTTTTTTTTGTTCGCATCAAAACGGATTAGTTTGCCCTTTTTTTTCACCCTCCGAACAGTTCAACGTCAACATGTTTTAGTTTCATACGCAAAATGAATAAATAACGCAAATTTTACTAGAATTTGTTGAAATATTTAAAACTTGTATTATTCATTTAAATTGCTAATTTTAAGTACGCATTACTTGAGAAGTAATTGAAAAATCGCTTGAAAAATATCGTCTAATAATCAACTTGAACTGAATCTACTCAATTATTTTCAAAACACGTTGCTTAACTCTAATAAACTGTCAGATATCAAGACGCCATCTAGCGATGAAAATGTTTAAAATCGATATACAGATGAGCACAACTTTGTTAAGTGAATTTATTATGATACTTTGTGCGCTCTTTCATCTCCCGTATTTTTATTCGTCTCTCGGGTCGAAGAGAAAGAGGAAAATAATGAAAACGAATTTTTGCTTTTCGACGTAATTAGGTAAACGGGAGGCGCGTCCGGAAAGTTTCCATGGCGAAAAGAAAAAAAATATGAAAAGAAGGGAAAAAGAAGTTTCCGGAGATGCGAAGGAAAAAAAATCGCGAAGGCGGTTTCTCACTTCAATTATTTTCGGGTCTTTGCAGCAATTTCAGAAAGACGTCCGGTTTTCTTTCTTTCTTTCTTTCTTTTTCACTTCCTTAACATTCATTTAACCGAGAACCCAAAAACAAACAAAAAAAAAATGTAATCGTGCTGCGGTCTCTCGTTGATCTTAATTAATTTCGCTCCGTCGATTTCAAATGCTCTCCATTTTTTTACTAACTAAAAAAAGAAACATACGTTTTTCTTAAATTAAGAATCTTAACAAACCTTTTCATTTTTTTTAATTAATATACATCGAATGTATTTATTATTATTTTTTTTATTTTTCATACTTTTTAGTAATAATTATCAGTTTGTTTTGTTATATTCATTAATTTACTAACAAAAGTGTTGAATTAAATAATTATTAATGAAACTTGCTGAAATTGTTGTAAAAACAATTGAAAGGGATGAAATGACTTATTTACATATTGCATTGTTATCCCAGCTTACTAATAGGATAATGCCTGAATTTATACCGAAAACGCGAACAAAAGCTTTCACTCTCTCTCTCTCTTGAAACGGTTGCTATGGTAACCAGATTACATTGGCGTTTAAGCCACCCGCAACGTAAACTTTTCAAGCCGTAAACAGTTTACGAAGTACAACGGAAAAAAAAAGAAGACAACTCCTGAGACTACTAAATCCAATCAATTATGCTGAGCTAATGAACGAATATTTTCCATACCTCCCTCAACTCAATTAAGAAGTTTTCCTTATTGAAATCCGCAATTAATTAACCGAATGTCGCGTCAAGTTGGTTCTGAAACTTTAACCGAATTCGCAGATGCGAGGTATGCCCAGCTCACTGCGATATCTGCACGAAGGGTGGAATCTGCTCCGCCAAGAGAGACATCTACCTGAGGACCGTGATCATGGGGCTGCAATTATCCTGCATGGCCGTGACCATCATAATGGCGTTGGTCGTCTTCAAGCAGAGGAAATGCAAAGTCAGTGTTTTTTCTCTCTCTCCGATTAATCAGATCAAAAAAAAAATATATAATTTTTTTTTTTGCAGACGATCGCTTCGGGGATGTGGACTATCTTGGAAACCATCCTCTTGGGAATCTTCCTGCTTTATTCGACGGTAAGAAGTGAAACAATGTGTAAGAGGAAACGGGTTTAATTTAAGGAATTCCCCTAGTCTTTTCCAATCTCCGAGATTCGTTGCGCCATGTTCTATTCATGTTGTGTTTTGTAATTCAAATGGACGACAAATTCATCCCTCTCCACCATCAACAAACGTCTTTCATTTGTCAGAGTAAAGCACTCTGCGACGTTCATCCCTTAAGACTGTCATTCGTCCTTTTGTCCTTTCCACTACCAATATTTCTTTACTTTCAAAGGAAAAGAAAAGAAAAGTAAAGAACTTAGGAATGCAACTGGCAATAATTTAATGGAGGCAATGTAAAGATCGTAAAACTCTGTTCCTCCTTTCTTCTGGATTTACTTGATAGTGGTTTGCGCGCAATTCATTCCGTTTAAAGAGCTTTTATCGCCGACACCACAAAGCGCTAAAGACCTCTTTTAACACTCCGCGCAATTGCCGAACACAATGGACGTCCTAGTTCAAGGATAAATGGTGGAGGGCGCAATAATCGCCATGGCAACAGGCGTTACTTCAACGCCAATTTGGTTGCATACCTGACGCTCTTAACATCTGCAAATTAGTTTCGAAATACTGCAATTTCTTTAAAGCTTTGAAATGTTTGTATACTAACAAATTGAAAATGGGTTATATAATTAGTAAATAGAGTTGCATACGTGGCAGCAAATTATTTATATTTAGTTTAGACTTTCTTAGCTTAGATTGGATGTAAATTACTTATTGATTCTTAATGAATTAAGTTGGATTAAGATTAATTGATGGTTGTGAGGAGGGGAGAGAAAGTAATTCGAATAATGGATTAAATGGACAAATCGGTTTAATGAACTGAAACCCAACGATGTTTGTCCTTGGGGAAACGATTGGTTTTAGAGGGGGAGAAGGAAATTACCTTCAACCTATTTCTACGATCGTCGTATTCCATTTCGCTTTGCTTTTCCAAGAAAATTAGTTTTCCGAGACAAACAAATTTCTTGGATACAATCAAGAAAATTGAATATTATGTATTTCATAAGAGAGAAATGTCGTTCCAGTAAAAGAAAATGATAATGAAAAGAAGTAATTACACAGACATAACGAGAATTTTCTAGTAACTAGGCAATTATACGCAATAATTGAGAATATTTGTTTGCTCTTGAACAAGTATTAAAAATGCTTTTATAATTTTTTTATCTACTCAACTGATATTTCGCACTTTCATACATTTATGGGTCTAAACCAGTGATTCCCAAAATGGTCTACATCGACCCCCAGGGGTCTACGACAACCTGCAAGGGGTCTAATTCAGCGAAAAAAAAAATTGGGGGTCCATGAAATGAAAATGGGGGTCCACGTTAGTGGATCTCAACCGGTGGCAATCGAAATCCCGACAATCAAAATCCAGACATTCGACTGTTCGAAATCCCGACTATATCGAAATCCCGACTGTATCGAAATGCAGACTGTATCGAAATCCCGACTGTATAGAAATTCCGACAGTGTCTTTTATTATAAATGATCGCCAAAACCCAACGTTCGAAATCCCGACTATATCGAAATCCCGACTGTACCATAATGCCGACTGTATCGAAATCCCGACTATATCGAAATCCCGACTGTATCGAAATCCCGACGTATCGAAATCCCGACTGTATCGAAATCCCAAAGTATCGAAATCCCGGCTGGCAATCACGAAATCCCGACGTTCGAAATCCCGAGTCTATCGAAATCCCGACTACCATAATCTGGACAATCAAAATGCCNACTGTATCGAAATCCCGAATATATCGAAATCCCAACGTATTTTTAATCCTGGATATTTCCATACAAAATCTGTGACAACCATAAGCCCGACTATACCNAAATCCCCACTGNTCAAAATCCCAACGTTCGTTATCTTCGCGGAATAGCTCGACTGTATCAAAATCCCGACAAGCATAATCCCGTCTATATCGAAATCCCGACTCTATCGAAATGCCGACTGTATCGAAATCCCGACATCCATAATCCCGACTGTATCGAAATCCCGACAGTATCGAAATCCCGACAGTATCGAAATCCACTTTCAAAATCCCGTTAATCAAATTATTGACATTATAAATGACGACGGTGGCAATCGCAAGCCCGACAACCGAAATACCGTCAATCAAAATCTCGACGTTCGAAATGCCGACTGTATCGAAATCCCGACATATCAAAATCCCGACAACCATAATCCCGACTATCGAAATCCCGACTGTATCGAAATCCCGACATTCAAAATCCCGACGTTCGAAATCCCGGCCTTTAGAAATCCCGACGTTCGAAATTTTACTATTGACAAATAAACCCGACAATCGAAATCCCGACTATATCAAAATCCCGACAATCAAAATCCCGACTATATCGAAATCCCGACTGTATCGAAATCCCGACTGTATCGAAATCCCGACAATCGAAATCCCGACTGTATCGAAATCCCGACTGTATCAAAATCCCGACGTATCGAAATCCCGACTATATCGAAATCCCGACTATGTCCCGACAGTGTCTTCTATTACCGTCTATTGAAATCCCAACGTTCGAAATCCCGACTATATCGAAATCCCGACAACCATAATCCCCCCTATATCACAATCCCGACTGTATATTTATACTCCCGATATTAAAATACCGACATATCGAAATCCNGACTATATCGAAATCCCGACGTATCGAAATCCCGACTATATCAAAATCCACGAAAACGCATTCAAAATCCCGACTATATCGAAATCCCGACTTATCGAAATCCCGACTGTATCGAAATCCCGACTATATCGAAATCCCGACACTCACGTATCGAAATCCCGACTATATCGAAATCCCGACTGTATCAGAAATCTCCGACAGTATCGAAATCCCGAACATTCTAAAATCCGATCAAGCGANTCTCGAAATCCCGACTGTATCGAAATCCCGAAATCAATCCCGTTCGAAATCCCGACATATCGAAATCCCGACTATTCAAAATCCCGACGTTAAAAATCCCGACTAGTATCGAAATCCCGACAACCATTGTATCAAAATCCCGACTGTATAAAAATCCCGATAGTATCGAAATCCCGACAGTGTCTTTTATTATATATGATCGCCAAAACAGAACATTAATGAGTTATCTTTGCGGAATAGCTCATAGTGTTTCATTATAATTATTTTATCCATTTTTCTATTATAATAAAGATAATTTTAAAAATTCATCGCTCGAGTTTTTTTATTTCTAGAATATAACGGTGGGAGTTGAGATTATTAATTGTTGTTATTAACTATTAATAACAATATATATATTTATTATTGTATTTGGTTTCATTGACTTAATAAAACTTAATATTAAGAAATATTCTAAACTAAAATTAATTTATTGTTATTAATATTAAATAATAGTAGATGGTGACTGCGTTTCGGAATAATTTAAAAATGTTATTGTATACATTATAATAATAAAAGACACTGTCGGGATTTCGATATTGTCGAGATTATGGTTGTTGGGATTTCAATAGACGGGATTTCGGTTGTCGGGCTTTCGATATAGACCCGATCACTGATAGTACTTATAACACTGATAGTATCTTATAATATAAAGACATATACATTATTTATAAAAGTACCTATGAAGTAAAATAAATATTATATATTGTTATAAAATTGTGTAAGTTGTAGGATGTAGTCATTCATCTTGTTACAAGCATACGCGCAGTCTTAGAGCAAAGATCTTAATAATTATAAAGATGTCCCAATATAAATAATAAATTTACAAAAAAATCAATATCAGGTAAGTAGGGGGGGGTCTACCCAAAACCGAAAAACATGGCAAAAGTTTGGGAACCTCTGGTCTAAACGGAGAAGAATTTTAATCAAATTATGCGACGCTTCTTTGATGAAACGAAAAGGACATGTCAAATTATCATTCCCACCGAAGTCCTAGCGCTTTGTAAATATAATGAAGCACCCTGTCTCAATTAGAAGCATCGTAAAATGTTAATGGTAATTTGTCTTTGTTTTAGGTTGTGGTGAGGTTCTTCGAGCCGTCCGTGGGTCAATGCTTGCTGGAGCCTTGGGCGAGAGAGCTGGGCTTCGTCATATGCTACGGTGCGATCATCCTGAAGCTGTACAGACATTTGATCGAATTCAGGACGCGGAAGGCTCATCGTTGGGTCGTCAAGGATACCGATCTGTTGAAGTATCTGCTGATCATGGTCGTATCACTACTGGCCTACATGGCTGCATACACGACGACAGCATTGGATTTCATGAGAGAAGACTTCAGTCTATTGTACAAAGGCAGGACGGGTCAGGGACTCTACTTCGAGGCATGCAAACCGATGTGGTGGGATTACGTGACCGAGCTGGGGGAGATCACCGTCCTCGTCTTCGGCATACATCTGAGTTACGCGAGCCGAAACGCTCGCACTCAGTTCCATGTGAGTTGGTTGGGTTGGTTAGTAGTAAACGCGAATCGTGATGGTGACGAGAACACCGAAACGAAACAATCGTCCGTCCTCATCATTTTCTTTATGTGCACTTCTAATTATACTGTTTGTAGGTAGATAACCGCAGCTGAGCTGCAACACCGAGTCAAGGTTACGTACATTTTAGATACTGCAAAATGTACCTAATGCAAATCATTCCTAGTAGTCTACAGGGAATTATCATTTCAATTCTTAAACAAAAACATAATTAGTAAAGTCAGAACATATTTTGTTAGTAATCAATGAAATACTTATGCAAAGAATGTTGAAAACATTTGAACTTACTTTATAACAGTAAATAATTTGTGACAACTTTAACTTGCACTTGTTCTTAGCACAACTCTTTTGAGTATTAAATCTAAATAAATCCAGTAATTTTCTCTTGTCCATACGTTAAATTAACATTATCCAATCATTTAACAGATTTTCAAAGATAATTGACTATAAATATCACAATTAGAAGGCTTTCTTTTTTAGAAACTCATTAATAAGTACCTATTGCAAATCATTCCTAGTAGTCTACAGGGAATTAACATTTCAATTCTTACACAAAAATATAATTAGTAAAGTCAGAACATATTTTGTTAGTAATCAATGAAATACTTATGCAAATAGTGTTGAAAACATTAAGTAACATAAGATTACTTTATAACAGTAAATAATTTGTGACAACTTTAACTTGCACTTGTTCTTAGCACAACTCTTTTGAGTATTAAATCTAAATAAATCCAGTAATTTTCTCTTGTCCATACGTTAAATTAATATTATCCAATCATTTAACAGATTTTTAAAGATAATTGACTATAAATATCACAATTAAAAGGCTTTCTTTTTTAGAAACTCATTAATAAGTACCTATTGCAAATCATTCCTAGTAGTCTACAGGGAATTATCATTTCAATTCTTACACAAAAATATAATTAGTAAAGTCAGAACATAATTTGTTAGTAATCAATGAAATACTTATGCAAAGAGTGTTGAAAACATTAAGTAACATAAGATTACTTTATAACAGTAAATAATTTGTGACAACTTTAACTTGCACCTGTTCTTAGCACAACTCTTTTGAGTATTAAATCTAAATAAATTTAGTAATTTTCTCTTGTCTATACGTTAAATTAACATTATCCAAATATTTAACAGATTTTCAAAGATAATTGACTATAAATATCACAATTAAAAGGCTTTCTTTTTTAGAAACTCATTAATAAGTACCTATTGCAAATCATTCCTAGTAGTCTACAGGGACTTATCATTTCAATTCTTACACAAAAATATAATTAGTAAAGTCAGAACATATTTTGTTAGTAATCAATGAAATACTTATGCAAAGAGTGTTGAAAACATTAAGTAACATAAGATTACTTTATAACAGTAAATAATTTGTGACAACTTTAACTTGCACTTGTTCTTAGCACAACTCTTTTGAGTATTAAATCTAAATAAATTCAGTAATTTTCTCTTGTCCATACGTTAAATTAACATTATTCAAACATTTAATAGATTTTCAAAGATAATTGACTATAAATATCACAATTAGAAGTCATTTATTGCACAAAATCTTTGCTTTCGTCATGAATTGCATAAAAATTTGACATCTTTTTTAGAAACTCATTAATAAGTATAGTTTTTAATTCCTATATTCCATAATTCCATCGAAATTGAAATGACAATATTTAATTAATTCTAAACAAAAATATACAACAAAATTAGAATCATTTGTATTGAAGATTTTCATAACAAGCAAAATAAAAAATCTATTTTTAAAATTCTCAAAAATTTCAATTACAAAATTACGAGTATTCAGACCACGACATAAATATAATAATTAAGCAATTATGTTTTCACTATAATTACACGTTGAACTCTATAAACTTTCGACAGACTTTTTGCGCTCGAATTAATAGCATATGTAAACCGGCGATCAGAAACGTAATTGAAAGATGCACTAGCATACATTTGAAAGAAGTATAATCTTTGTGCTATTTCGCATTGTCCGTGCAATAAGTAATTAACATTCTGTGCGGAATGGAATTGAAAGCTCTAATGCGGCGTAAAATAAGCTAACAATCTGCAGTTTTAGCAACGTTCATCATCAACATTCATCATAATCGTAGTTTCTTCTATCTCTACTCGCGAATTATACGGAACTAAGATGATATATATATATAAATGCAGAACAGTTTTAATGTGACACCATAAAAGTCGCGTTTTTCGAATTAACTGCGGAACGGCTCATTCTTATTTATTACACTTATTCCGATTCGCAATTTTATTTAGTGTAATTTTTTAACTTCTTTTTTAAGTATACATTACATCTTTGTACGTAACAGATGTGAGTCGAATTTGCGTTTAATTCGCGACGATCTGCAAGAGTAATGACTTTTTCGTGCGTTGTGTCGTTACTCTTTGTTTTAATGCGGAAAGTTTTGAATGGATTTCGTTTGTCGGCAATAACTTTTGGTGAATAAGAGAAAAGGAAAGGATATTTATGCGTTTTTCCGTTCAGTTGAAATTGAAATGACAATAAACGTTGTTGTTTTTTTTAATTTGTTGTTGTTGTTGTTGTGCTGTTGTTTCCAAGTGACAATAACGCACACTTAAATCATTTTAGTACCTGACGAGCCAATAATCGTAAAACGGTGATTGCTTTGAGTATATTTGTGCATTTGAATTAACCGAAAGTATTTATAAGTTTTCCTATTTAAAAATTTAAAATAATTCAACAAAAACTAAGTTAATATTTAATTAATATAATAATAATTGATTTAAGTAATACCAAAAAGAAATACAATTTTACTAGAGAAAAATACAAAAATTGTAACAACGTTTCTTTTTATATCAAAAACAAATCAAATTTTTTATCACTTCATTTAGTTTCAAACTTAAATCATTTTAGTACCTGACGAGCTAATAATCGTAAAACGGTAATTGCTTTGAGTATATTTGTACATTTGAATTAACCGAAAATATTTATAAGTTTTCCTATTTAAAAATTTAAAATAATTCAACAAAATCTAAGTTAATATTTAATTAATATGATAATAAATTATTTAAGTAATACCAAAAAAACATACAATTTTACTAGAGAAAAATACAAAAATTGTAACAAAGTTACTTAATTATTTACTAGAGAAAAATACAAAAATTAAAACAACGTTTCTTTTTATATCAAAAACAAATCAAATTTTTTTTATCACTTCATTTACTTTCAAACTTAAATATTATTCGTTGATGTACATTAAGTTGTTATATAAAGTTTGACTAAACTTGAGTCAAATTTGTTGGATTATGCAAGTGTTATAAATTTAAAAAAAAATACAAAAAATATATATACATTTTCAATTTTTCAAGATTAATTTCAAATTGACAAAGTTGCTTAATTATTTACTAGAGAAAAATACAAAAATTAAAACAACGTTTCTTTTTATATCAAAAACAAATCAAATTTTTTTATCACTTCATTTAGTTTCAAACTTAAATATTATTCCCTGATGTACATTAAGTTGTTATATAAAGTTTGACTAAACTTGAGTCAAATTTGTTGGATTATGCAAGTGTTATAAATTTTTTAAAAAATACAAAAAATATATATAAATTTTCAATTTTTCAAGATTAATTTCAAATTGACAAAGTTACTTAATTATTTACTAGAGAAAAATACAAAAATTAAAACGTTTCTTTTTATATCAAAAACAAATCAAATTTTTTTTATCACTTCATTTAGTTTCAAACTTAAATCATTTTAGTACCTGACGAGGTAATAATCGTAAAACGGTAATTGCTTTGAGTATATTTGTACATTTGAATAAACCGAAAGTATATATAAGTTTTCCTATTTAAAAATTTTAAATAATTCAACAAAATCTAAGTTAATATTTAATTAATATGATAATAATTGATTTAAGTAATACCAAAAAAAAATACAATTTTACGAGAGAAAAATACAAAAATTGTAACAACGTTTCTTTTTATATCAAAAACAAATCATAATTTTTATCACTTCACTTAGTTTCAAGTATTTAGTAAATGATTTATGATTCGTTGGTTTAGATTAAGTTGTTATAAAGTTTGACTAAACTTAAGTCAAATTTGTTGGATTATTCAAGTGTCATAAATATTCACAAATTTTCAATGTTTGAAGATGAACTTTAAATTGACAAAGTTACTTAATTATTTGAAAGTATTTAAATCAAAAATAACAGAACTTTCATCATCTGTAAAAAAAAAACTTAACAAATCTTACTCGAATTTTAGCACACAAAAAGAAAACTGAATCTTACTTAAGTTAAGTAAACATTAGTAATAATCCGATTAAGTTAATATAATTAAATTAAAGATAGTTTTAAGATTGAAACTTCAGAAACTTCAGAATCTTTTAATCTAAGAGATGTAACTTTCCAATATTTGTTTATGTATTGTAATTGGATTACTTCAAGTATTGATGAATTCATAACTCTTTTTCAATCAATAAATTACACAATTCATAACTGTTTTTCATTTTCAGGAACGAAGATTTCTGTGCGCCGCGATCTGCATCGAGCTTGCAGTAAGCTCGATCTTCTACCTATCGAGAATCTGGATCTTACCTGGTCTCCATCCGGACGCCGTCCTCATAGCAACCTGCTTACGGACCCAGTGCACCGCAACGCTCACCCTCCTGCTCGTCTTCGTGCCAAAATTTTGGTATCAACAGAAACAGGTCAGATCTTTGGCGCAGGAATATTCCTGCAGGTTTCCCGTCGATGCTTTCAAGGTAACTTGATTGCACATCCTCACCTGAAATAACTAAAACAAAAAATTTGTATATACATAACGTATCAATCGATCGATCACATTGAATAGAAAGAAATGCACTGCACTAAATATGAATTTAAAAAAATTATATTATTTAGATCTCTACACATTTCGTGACGCGGGTCTTTGACCCCGGGCTTACTGTTATTATGGTTACCATGTTACATAATCAATTCTATTGCCGTTCTCTTTCTCATACACTCATTCTCGCATTCTCACTCTTTTTCATTTGTACCATGTTCTTCTTTGGTATCCAACGATGAATACGTAATCAACATCAACGGTGTCCGGTTTTTGATTTTATTTCATCCATGAGCGGATTAATATTAAAAATAAAGTAGATCAGAATTCAAATAATTGAAAAATATTATTGGCATATTCGATAATTGTGCGTAGATTCGAAAGTAGCACAAATTTATAAAATAAAAGGGTAAATATTAGGGTAACAATAAATGCTGCAATAGCTAAATAATAATTTTGGAGTTGTCAATCTCATTTTGAAATATTAAATGTAAATTTTATTGAAATTTATTAGGTCATGTAACATTTATTTAAATCTAACCAACAAATAAATGAAGTAATATCCAAATAATCAATTTGAGGTTATCAGTGTCTTTTTGATATGTCAATCTTATTGGATTTATTCATAGCTTTGATATTTCACTGATTTATGTCAATGTCAATGTCATTTTGAAATATTAAATGTCAATCTTATTGAAATTTATGATATTTGTTCATTGTTTTTTGACATATCTCATTTTCAAATAACAAAAAAAAACACTAACCAATAAATTATTTATGGATTGTAGCTGTCAATGTCATTTCTAAAAATCAAAACAATAAATACTGCTACAGCTAAATAATAATTTTGGAGTTGTCAATGTCATTTTGTAATATTAAATGTCAATTTTATTGAAATTTATAAGGTCAGGTGACATTTATTTAAATCTAACCAACAAATTAATCAATTTGAGGTTATCAGTGTCTTTTTGAAAAGTCAATATTATTGGATTGATTCATAGCTTTGACATTTCACTGATCATTTTGTAATATGTCATTTTAAAATATTAAATGTCAATCTTATTGAAATTTGTGGACAAATATGTCTATAGCTTTTTGACATTTCACATTTTCAAACAAAAAAAGAAACACTAACCAATAAATTATTTATGGATTGAAGCTGTCAATGTCATTTCTAAAAGTCAAAACAATAAATGCTGCATCAGCTAAATAATAATTTTGGAGTTGTCAAAGTCATTTTGTAATATTAAATGTCAATTTTATTGAAATTTATAAGGTCAGGTAACATTTATTTAAATCTAACCAACAAATTAATGAAGAAATATCCAAATTATAAATTTGAGGTTATCAGTGTCTTATTTAAAAATCAATATTATTGGATTTATTCATAGCTTTGACATTTCACTGATCCATGTCAATGTCATTTTGAAATATTAAATGTCAATCTTATTGAAATTTATGATATTTGTTCATAGCTTTTTGACATTTCACATTTTCAAACAAAAAAAAACACTAACCAACAAATTATTTATGTTTATATTATAGCTTCAACAGCTGTCAATGTAATTTCGAAAAGTTAAAACAATAAATGCTGCAACAGCTAAATAATGATTTTGGAGTTGTCAATGTCACTTTGAAATATTGAATGTGAATTTTATTGGAATTTTCGATAAATGCTCATAGCTTTAACATGTCACATTTTCCAAACAAAAACTGTCAATGTCATGTTGAAAGGACAAATTATTCAATATTGCAATAGCCACCTAATCCTATTGGATTTCTTGATATTTGGTACATAGTTTTGACATTTCACATTTTGAAGCAAAAAAGCTAACCAAATAAATGAATTATCAATTACCTAATTAGTCATTTTGAAGTTGTTAATGTCATTTCTAAATGTCAAAATAATCAATGATAGTAAATTTGGAGTTATTAGTATCATTTTGAAATATGAAATGTCAATCTTATTGGATTTTTTTGATAATTGTTCATATCTTTGACATTTCACATTTAAAATAAAGAATCAAAACTAACTTATAACTCAATTGTGGCTAATCCATATATTCGTTTTGTATTTGTCAATGTCATTTTGTTAAATGTCAATTTAATTGGAATTTTTGGTATTTGATCATAGCTTTCATATTTTCAAACAAAAAAAACACTAACCAATAAATTATCTATGGATTGAAGCTGTCAATGTCATTTCCAAAAGTTAAAACAATAAATGCTGCAACAGCTAAATAATAATTTTGGAGTTGTCAATGTCATTTTGAAATATTGAATGTGAACTTTATTGGAATTTTCGATAAATGCTCATAGCTTGAACATGTCACATTTTCCAAACAAAAACTGTCAATGTCATGTTGAAAGGACAAATTATTCAATGTTGCAATAGCCACCTAATCCTATTGGATTTCTTGATATTTGGTACATAGTTTTGACATTTCACATTTTGAAGCAAAAAAAGCTAACCAAATAAATGAATTATCTATTACCTAATTAGACATTTTGAAGTTGTTAATGTCATTTCTAAATGTCAAAATAATCAATGATAGTAAATTTGGAGTTATTAGTACCATTTGGAAATATGAAATGTCAATCTTATTGGATTTTTTGATAATTGTTCATATCATTTCACATTTAAAATAAAGAATCAAAACTAACCTATAACTCAATTGTTGCTAATCCATATAATCGTTTTGTATTTAACAATGTAATTTTGTTAAATGTCAATTTAATTGGAATTTTTGGTATTTGATCATAGCTTTGACATGTCACATTTTTCAAACAAAAACTGTCAATGTCATGTTGAAAGGACAAAATAATCGATGGCTATTGCAAACCCAATCTTATTGGATTTTTTGATATTTGATGGATAGCTTAGACATTTTCAAACAAAAAAGCTAACTATTTAAAAATGTCAAAATAATCAATGATGCAACAGCTCAATAGTAAATTTGGAGTTATTAATATCATTTTGAAATATGAAATGTCAATCTTATTGGATTTTTTGATAATTGTTGTCATATCTTTGACATTTCACATTTAAAATAAAGATTCAAAACTAACCTATATCTCAATTGTGGCTAATCGTTTTGTACATGTCAATGTCATTTTGTTAAACGTCAATTTAATTGGAATTTTTGGTATTTGATCATAGCTTTGACATTTCACGTTTAAAATAAAACAAATCAATCAATTTTGTATTTTGAAATCTACAATTTTCGTTCATGGCTTTGTTCTAGTTTCTCAATTCGCACCTGTTTATAGTTTATAGTGTGCTTCTTGCACATGTAAAGCCTGAGGGGTGTTTGAGAGACACGTTCGACAAAACGTTCAATTTCACGGTTCGTTTGGTCCCGAAAAATGAGGAGGATTCGATAGATTCGAATCCTTCGGGGGAAACTACATTTGCATAATATACGAGAGCAGGCTTTAACGCCAGATGATGTGAAGAACGCTTTTACACTATGATGGAAGTGGACGTTTCGCATTTAACTTCGTACACTTGACATGCTTTCCACTACTCGACCATCATTATTTCCCTATTTTCCTCCCGGTCGCATCGCGAAACTCACGTTCGCCTCGCATTCCGTTCTCGCAGAATTTAAATTACGCTAAAAGGAAAACATGCATTAGGCACGTCCTCATCCGCAACTAAAGGGTTTTACAAATTAGACTAAAAAGCTGTTTTCTTCTTATGTAAAACGGTAATAGAAGTAATAGAACAAGTAACAACTTAAATTAATTATTCTGTGCAATGCAAATAGTAGAAACGAAATAGATTAAATACATAATTTCGTCAATTAACCTACACTTAACTATTTGCTACAATGATTTATCTAGTGGAAAGAAAAATTACTTATTTTTATAAATCATGGATTACATTAATTAATCCAATTTCAAAATACTAGTATTATCTAATTAGTACATAAAAAGAAGTGCTTAAATAGATTCTTACATTATTATTTGACCAAAATTAGTTTAGTTGATTCAAAGATCTACAAATTTATCCAAATATGCACTTATAAGCACTAAAAATTAAATAACGAATCAAAAGATGCAAATTCTAGATAAAAGCTTTTGCATTTAGATTTTATAACTAATATAACTAAATTTATTCTAAATTAATCAAAAACTGATATATACTTGACTTAACTATATTTAGATGACATTAAAAGTAAATACACTAAATTTAACAAAAAATGAAAATACTGGGAGAAAAATTTCCATCTATAATCTAGATTCCAGGTTTCATAATCAAAGTACTAATTTTTTCATTATTAAAGATTTCGTTATATTAAAAATACATTTACATAGACTTATAGCAAAAGTAGTATTTAAGTATGTATATGCAACATATAGTCTAATCTTCATAAACAAAATAAGTGAAAATTTAGTTTACTTATTTTGTTATATGTTACCATTTTTTTAAAATTTGTTTTAATATTTTGAAATAATATCAATTTTCTTTGTCTTCGACTGTAATAATTATCAGAATGTTCGTAAAATTTGAACTGAAATGTGATTAACAGGAAGGCTATGTTCTCAGTTAATAGCGTGATAAAAGTAAATTCAAGGGAAAGGGTTGTTCCTGAACTTCGGTTATTCGTTGATAGATGTCGCTACTGAACTATATACTTCTGGAACGGTGGCAATCTAAAGCCCGACAACCGAAATCCCGAGTGTATCGAAATCCCGACTGTATTGAAATCCCTACTATATCGAAATCCCGACTATGTCAAAATCCCGGCTACTCTAATCCAGACAATCAAAATCCCGACTATATCGAAATCCCGACTATGTCAAAATCCCGGATACCCTAATCCAGACAATCAAAATCCCGACTATATCGAAACCCCGACAGTGTCTTTTATTATTATAAATTTCTACAATAACATTTTTATTGCAGTCGGGATTTCGATATTTTCGGGATTT